TAGAGGAATTCGCGATTGAGTACGAATGCGAATGCAAAGATTCGCGATTGAATGCAAGTGCAAGGATTCGTTATGCGAATAGTAAGATTGGTATAAAAATTCGCGAGTGAATGCGAATACGAATTCGAATGATTCGAGATTGAATGTGGAAGCGAATGCGAATAGAGGAATTCGCGATTGAGTACGAATGCGAATGCAAAGATTCGCGATTGAATGCAAGTGCAAGGATTCGTTATGCGAATAGTAAGATTGGTATAAAAATTCGCGAGTGAATGCGAATACGAATTCGAATGATTCGAGATTGAATGTGGAAGCGAATGCGAATAGAGGAATTCGCGATTGAGTACGAATGCGAATGCAAAGATTCGCGATTGAATGCAAGTGCAAGGATTCGTTATGCGAATAGTAAGATTGGTATAAAAATTCGCGAGTGAATGCGAATACGAATTCGAATGATTCGAGATTGAATGTGGAAGCGAATGCGAATAGAGGAATTCGCGATTGAGTACGAATGCGAATACGAAGATTCGCGATTGAGTACAGATGCGAATAGTAAAAATTCGCGAATGAATGCGAATACGAATTCGAAAATTCGGGATTGAATGTGGAAGCGAATGCGAATAGAGGAATTCGCGATTGAGTACGAATGCGAATACGAAGATTCGCGATTGAGTACAGATGCGAATAGCAAAAATTCGCAAATGAATACGAATACGAATTCGAAAATTCGGGATTGAATGTGGAAGCGAATGCGAATAGAGGAATTCGCGATTGAGTACGAATGCGAATACGAAGATTCGCGATTGAGTACAGATGCGAATAGTAAAAATTCGCGAATGAATGCGAATACGAATTCGAAGATTCGCAATAGAAGGCGAATAAAAAAATTCGCAATTGAGTAGGAATACGAATGCGAATAGAAAAATTCGCAATTAAGTACGAATGCGAATACAAAGATTCACGATTGAATGCAAATGCAGAAATTCGCAATTGACTACGAATGCGAATATTAAAAATTCCGGAGTGACTGCGAATACGTATTCGAAGATTCGCAATTGAATACGAATACAAAGATTCGCGATTGAATCGCTACTGATTCCTATTGTGAAAATTTGCAATTGAATGCGAATATAAAGATTCGCGATCGAATGCAATTAAATACGAATACGAAAATTTGCAATTGAATGCGAATACGAATTCGAAGATTTGCGACTGAATGCGAATCCGAATTCGAAGATTCGCACTTCAATAAGCCTTATTTCCAATTTTCAAAATTTCGAAATTATAAAATGGATTTCCTCCTCTCTCTTGAACGTTTCGGATATCGCCACCCTATAGATTACAAATTGAAATCACTGTCCCCAATAATCTTGTTCAATTGTATGAATTGTTAAAGAATTTATCGTTTGTCTAAGGGGTCAATTGTGCGAGTGTGCATCATTGAGCCAAGCTGTTCCTCTTAATCCATCGAAATTAAAATGTCAATGAAATTGAACTTATCATTTTTTGATGTCTTCATACTCCTTTCCTCGTGACAGTTTATACGAAACTATCGAAAACATTCCGTTTCGTTGCATATTTTTATAATAATTCCATAATTTATAATTTATCCTTTTCGCGAATATTTGCGATATTTATAATCGTTATAACATGAGTAACACCATTAATCGTCGAGATAAAAGTCCCATCAAAAATCGTCTAATACATATTTCCCATTTTAATGAAATATATTTCCATTAATAGCGAAGCTTAAATTTTTATAACAATGAATACACTTTTTACTAATTTTTGGTTAATAATTAATTAGATCTTCGTGTAAGAACCTAAGTAAATATAAAATATTTATTTAAAAAGTATTTCTTCTTTCAAGATTATTTCGAATTTATTATTCGAATCATCTTGAAATTATTTTGGAATTTAAATGAAATAGGAAATATTTTTCTTTCATTATTCTTTTTATTTTGTAGAACGCTGTAAGGGTTGAACGCGAATAACAATTGACCCTTGGGATTTCAGGATGGTTGCGAAGTGGGTTAATTGTTTTGTGGTTTAATAGCGAAAGTCGATTAGCGGTGATCGATTTTGATGGGCTACGCACAGATGTCTTTTGAAAATTCTTTTATTCGAAAATACGACCTGAATTTCGAGAAAGAATTTCTTGAAGTAGGAATAAGGATCTAGACAGAAGTAAATACATGTATATGTGCAGGTGAAAGAAATTTAAATTATATATATATATATGTATACATATATTTCCTTCTGATTTATAGAAATATAATTTTTCTAATTTTTTAAATACATTATAAATAAAAAGAAAATATCGAGTCTGATGATTCAATCTTTCACTACTTTTGTAAATGTAATTTACATATTAAGTATTTTTAATAAATATTTACTTAAATATTAAATTTAATTATATATTAAATATTACATAACTTAAATATTTTTAATTTTTTATTCAAAATTCTTTTACAACTTTTTCTTTCAGTCTGACCACTTTCATAATTAGCCACATATATGCACATGAGAAAATCCATATACCAGAGTCCGTGTATTATAAGTATAATATCTATACGCATATGAAGTGTATACAAAAATACAAAATCTGTATACTAGGAAGAAAATACGGAATAAATGACAAAATCTTCTATCTCGTCACACAAACACAGGATGAAAAGAATAGCAACTTGCAGCAGTATTACGTAATTGCACGTTAAGTAGAAGTACACGAGAAACGGACAGCTACCGATGTTATTCCACAAAAGTACAACAAGAGAAAACAAAAGGTAAATGACTTTCATTATTGATACACGAGGACAACAAAAGGATAAGAAATAAATAACAAAATTTTTTATCTGGCCAAACGTAGATGCAACCAAGAAGAAAATAGGAGAAATGGCAAAATGGCCGACGTCAATAGAGCATAACAAAAGAGAATAACAAAAGAGAATAACAAATAATAATTTTTATCATAAAAACACAAAATCACAAGAAAATTTTCTAATTCATTGAAAGAAAAAAATATAAGAAATGGCAAAATGGCTAATGGTACCAAAAAATATGACAAAAGAGAATAAAGAACATAACAATTTTGATCATAAAATTATAAAATCACAACAAAATTTTCTAATTCGTCAGAGAAGAAAACATAAGAAATGGCAAAATGGCCAACATCATGAGAATACAACAAAAGAAAATGACAAACAAATAACAATTTTTAACATAGAAACACAAAATCACAACAATATTTTCTAATTCGTCAAAGAAGAAAATATAGGGAATGGCAAAATGGCTAATGTCACTCAAGAATACAACAAAAGGGAGTACAAAGCATAACAATATTTATCAACAATTCATGAAAACCCAACAAAGAGAAAAAAAAATAAACACCCAAATTTTCTATCTCGTCAAACACAAATGCAACAATGAAGAAAACGTAAGAAACAGGAAAATGGCCACCGTCAATCAGAAATACAAAAATACGGGTCAAGATCAAACGAAAAGATTAATCATTAACGTCACAGAAATAAAGAATAAGTAAGAAAATTTTCGATTCGGCCAAAAGGAAACCTGAGAAAATGCCAAAATGGCCAAGACCGTGGGCCAAAAATATAACGAAAGATAATAAGGAACCAAGCTTCCTAACCTATAACACAAAAGTAGGTAATAAAATGAAAAAAGAGCGTACAACAGTTCACCACAGAATCGCGTTAAGAAAGAACGGATGACACGTTAAAAAAAGGAACGAAAAAATTGCGAATAAAATTAGCCATGTTGCCGCGCAATGACGCGACGAAATGAAATATAGCGTAAATAATAGTTCCGAACGCCGCCACGCGTAGACAACGCAATAAAATTGACAAGAAAAAAGACGAACAACGCGAGGACGCGATTAAAAAGGGAATAAATAACACAGGGTTCTTCGACACGGTTGCACGAGGACACAAGAAGCGCGGCTGATCGATTTCGAAGGCACCAATCGCTTCGTCACATGTGACACTTTATAGTGCAATCATTAAGAATGTGCTTTTCGGAGAGCGCACGAAAAACGAGCGAGCACGCGCAGTCGCTTGCCAATGTTCGTCTCGGCTTACTGACCCGCGTCTCTTCCTCGCCACGCTCTCTTTCAATGAACCCGTCCTTGTGACCACGTAACCGTCGCAGTCCAACTACTGACAGCGATATTTGCGCGGTCTACGCATGCAATTAGGATCGACTTCAAATACCGAACGCACAGTACGCGACGAAATTTTCTTCCTATAATCCTAATTTTTTTTTGTTTAATTTGGTACTATTAATTAATAGCGCAAAATATTTTATTTTTGGAATCCAAAATGGCCTATAAGCGTAATTAGGATCATGACTTCAGATACCGAACGTACAGTACGCGATCGAATTTTCTTTCTATAATCCGAATTTTTTCTTTTTTTTTTTTTTAAGTGTCGCTACTATTAGTAACGTAAAATATTTTATTTTTAAGATCAAAATTGTAACCCAGTCGGAAAAATTGTAAGCTATAGATGATGTAGAGATTGATTTTAATAAGAGGATTAAAAGATTAAGAATTTTGTTCTTTTTGAAATAGCAATTACATTTAAGTCGGTCGTTGATGAGATAATTCTTTCATTTAAGTATGAGAGGACTGGAGCTGGAAATTTGATTTCTTGGAATGAAAATTGTGTTGGAGAAAATCATTAACGAGGTGAATTTTAATTCGGATAAGAGGATTACAATTGAATCTTTTATTTTATAGAATAAAACTGGTGCTATGCGGATTATTAATGAAACAGAATTCCATTTATTTCGAAAGAGGACCGAAATTAAAAATTTATCTTTCCAGAAATGACGTTCGTTTCGTTTTCATTTCAGATAACCAGATAGTTCGGAATCATTTCAGTCATTCGAGCCCGTTTTCAAACACGATTCATCAAAGGCTATATAATTTCCACAATTTTCAATAACTTCGTTAAAAAAAAAAATTGGGAATATTTTTCAAGTATAAATAAATCTGAGTGCGAAAACCGCATGCCAAAATATATCATGGTTTCCCCAGAAAAAAATCCCAAAGAAGACGATTTTTATCGGCCCGATTACATGAAAACCGCCTTAAATTATCGTTCTTCTACATTGTCGCGAGAGGGCCTGAATGCCAACGGAGCTCGTGATCGCATTAACACTTTGACTGGCACGCTTAGGGGGCCACGATAAAATTTCCATTATTCTTAGTATATAATGATGAATTACCATCAATATAGCAAAAAAGAAAGTGGTAAAAATTATTATTTTCTATTGAAAATTCTCTACTTATTTAAGTTGTTCAAATTTTCAAAAAGTAGTTAAAATAAAAGAAATATAAATTTAAAAAATTGGTATCGCCGGACACTGGCGACCACTATGGGTCCACTGAAGAGACAAGTCGATGACCACCATGGCAATCAACGAGTTACAATAGAGCTCAGACGCCGACGTCGTTATTTATAATAATCGGCGTTGATTTCCTGTATCCGGTATGCGTACACTGCGTGCAGATTTACGTCACGCGAAGTTTATGAATGAGACGGCCCTGCCGTTGACCACCGCTTTGACCATTTCTCTCGCTGCCACGAGAGAAGACCAAGAGCCACGGCTCTCTCGTGTCCTCGTTCGAAGATGGTCCCGGTCGCCAAAAGGGACGACAGAGCACGATTCTTTCGTAATCGATTGCCTTCGAAGACACTCGCTACTCTCAATGTCGCGATCACCTGTTCAATCGTCACCGCGACCCATTTTTCCGCTACATAACCTCTCTTCCACCCCTTCACGATTTACGTACATAATTACAATTCTTCTCTTTAACACATTTTCTTCGAGTTCATGACTGAAAAATGTAATTTTTCGAGCGAGTTGATACTCGAAATCTAGTCGTAAGTTAAAGTTTCGATTAAAATTTGAATTTAATTTTTTTTTATTTTCGAAATTCCATGTCGTTGTGGAAATTTTCGACGGTTCCGAAATTTGAATTTCGAGTCCGTAACGTACACGGAGTAATGCGACTAGTTACGCAACGAGAAGGAAAGTCAAGGTCACGGAAGTGGGATGACTAGACGACTCACCTTCTGGTCGATGTGCTCCCATTTCTCGTCGATAGTTCGTCGCTCTGCCTCCGTCATGGTCCGTCGAGTCGACGCCGACGACGACGATGGGACGAAAGAAAAGGACGTACGTTAATCCTCGTGGGTAAAGAACGGCCACGGAGAGGCACCAGAAGAAGCAGGGAAGAGAGCCCGTGTCAACCGACAGGCAACCACGCCGCGCCTCTAGAGATCACTAAAGGCTTACATCACGCGGTCCTCAAGCCCTACATCGAATCTACATGCTAGAAATACAGCAACTCGCGTGGAGACGAACCGGGTGTATTTTGGGCCACGCGAATCGCGCGCGCCGATTCGTCGTTGAACTTCTTTCCTCTCTTCATCGTTATTCTCTCGAGAATTGTTTGCAGGGCTATCTTACGAGCCCTCCTTCGAGACACCATCAAGACCTAAAAAAAAATAATCACTGATCAGTCTATCGTTATTGCGATTGTTTAAATGGGATAATTGGGAATTATAATTATTAATTATCATTGTAATGAGTAGCGAGTAGCGAGTAATTAACGTTTTTTATACTGGTCATGTCTTCCCACTTGGAACTAGTATCTAAAGTTGAGTCATTTTGACTCCTTTGGTAGTTTTGTTGAATTGGTTACCACTCTTGTCTTAGATTATTTTATGTTTATTTTTATTAATTTATTGAGAGGTTATTCTGCTGAGAAATGGTTTGTTGTTGTGGAGTTTGTTGGAGAATGTATTTGAATTTATGGGCCTGATATAGGGGGGGGATGTAATTGGACTGTGAATTTAGGGATTGAGACTCGTTTAGGCAAGTTAAATATCAATGGTTGAGTAACTTTTGTTATTTAATTCTATTGTTAAGGTTTTATAAATTATCTAAAGCTTTCTTAATACAAAATTGATTAACAAGCAATGTCAGGATGGCCGAGCGGTCTAAGGCGCTGCGTTCAGGTCGCAGTCCACTCTGTGGGCGTGGGTTCGAATCCCACTTCTGGCAAATATCTTTTGTTCGTTTAAAATTGTAATTAATTTGATATTTATCTGAAAGAAGGAATTATTTATTTTCATACAAGTTTTCATTGATCCAAAGCTTCTACTAAACAAATATTCGAGGACAATCGCAATGAAAGTCAAATATTTGTTCCTATTTTGATAAAGAATAGTGTACGATACTTTATGAATTATCGATATAAATTAATGGAATTTTGTTGTAATAAAAATTTATAGATATCAATTTATCGTACCAAAACTTGTACGTAAATTTATATAAATTCGTAGAAAATTATGAAAGTTTACTGAAAGTTTATCGATGAAATTTACGAAAACGAATTTAAACTATGAAAACACTAATTTCTTTTGTTTCTTATGTCTGAAGCTTCCTGCAATTTCCGGTTATACAAATTACGCGATTAAATGCGCAGATTTTATTTCTAATCTACCAATATTACAAAGACACAATATATATACTGCATTTATTACGAAAGTATTAAACAGAAAAAAAAATGTCTTAATGTCTTAATGTCCGTCGTAATGTCTTATTGTTTTATATAGTATCAATCACACGAATTACATATGTACATACACATCTCCCTTACATTTTAAGTGCGTACAACATTAGAAACGTCGATGATCACGAATACGTATGTTAAACGATTAATTCACACGTTATTGTTCTGTTTATTTATAGCGACCTGATTACACATTGGATAATCTCTAAGTCCATTTTATCGTAATGGATACTAAAATACTAATATCTGAAGCTGAAAGGTATCTTCGAAACATGAAACCAACTGTTCGTGTGATTGCAGTTTGCAACGTCCGTTGAAATTGACGCACGTTGCAACGTCCGTATTTTCAACGTTCATGTGACTCCGGCTTAAGTGATTTACTGCGCTGATCGAAAATTGTAATTTAAATATTTATTTCACTATTTTCATAAATTCCATACTTATATATTATACCATCGTTTTCATATAATCGATAATGATATAAATATTTTAACGGAAAGTTAATAATGACACAGTAAATATAAACATTGTAAAATGTTGTTATAAGGCTATACTTGTATAATCTTTTGAGACTTTTTATAATTTTCTAAACAATTTATGCGTCGCAATGAACGAGGAACATAAATTACTGTTGTAGATACACATGTAATACAACAAAACTGCAAAGCATAACAATAGAAAGTATAAACGAAATTCCGAAGTGGGTAACAGTTAATTGTCAACATGGCGGATAGTGATTTTCTCATCACAATTTCAGGTCCCGCTCTGTCATTATTGTTTTACGAAAATGTTCGCAGTTGCGGGGACCAGGTAAAAAAGTTTTTTCCTCCTTGATTTGTTATTTACGATATTTTATAATTTAACGTGACAAGCCGCATTTAGATTGTGAAATCTATCATCTTAACCTCTATAGAATCTAACCTAATAAATGAGAAAGTTGAAAATATTGAAAAAGAGTATATTGATTTTCCATGTTGTAGATGGGCTTTTTATTAGGAGAAACACTTGAATTTGTTATAAAATCGTACACAGATTTAGACAATCAGGTAGAAACAGTGAAAATATACAACAGTAAGTTACTCTATTGTTTGTCATAGTGACACAAAAGTCTTTACTTTGCAATAATGTTTTGACGTTTTTAGATATTGAAGCTGTTGTAACTTGCCCATTACCAAATTCTTTGCATAATTCTCTTGGCAAAATTAATAAAGAAAAATTAAAGGATTTTTTACGTGATAAGAGTAAACAAGTGATAGGTTGGTTCCGCTTTAGGCGAGATATAGGCTTGGTACCTACATTTAGAGATAAATTATTGCATAAAGAATTTGCGTCATATTTTTCCAATGATAATGGCTCTAAAGAAGAGTTCTTTGTTACTTGTTTATTAAGTTCTTCGACAAGCAGTGAAGGAGGAACTTATAAATTTAAACATGTTTTTTTAAGACACAGAAGAGGGTATGTTCCTTTCTTATAGTAATTCTTATATAATACATTTTGAAGAACGCTATTTGTATAAATAATTTGATTGATACAGGGTATTTGAACCAGTTCCTTTACGGATAAGTAACTTAGGAAGTAATTCATTTGCACATGAAGGTTCAGATTATAAACCTACTCCTACTAAAAAATCATCTGATGTACCAGATGTATTTACAAAACTCATAGAATCTTTAGAGTAAGTTTGAACATGAATTAAAATTTTTATGTAATATCTCAAACTTTCTGATACTTAATGATTAAAAAATATTTATTTTATTCCTACTATTTATTTTTAGTTTGGATTTAACAAAGACATCTGCAGTTGAATCTGCTATTACTATACAAATGGCAGCTGAGCAGCATTTAAGTCAATTAATACCTGAATTATGTAAGTCTGATCTTGAAGTAGCAGAGCTTGAAAGGCAACTCAAGGAAGTTATGCTTAACAAAAAGGCAAAAGTTAATGGAAATTCAAATAATGTAAATCAAACCAGCGAAACTGAAAAAGAGGAAAGTAATGAAGGAAAACAAATATCAGAAAAATCATCTCCTTCAATAACTGAATCTTCAGATGATATCTATCAAGAATCTCGGTCATTCAAAGATCATACCTCTGCAACTGTATGTGTTTTATAATATAAAAAACCATTTTGTAATTTTTACAAATCTTATGTGACTAGTATTTTATTTCAGAATCAAGTTGCTACTCATAAACCGAAAAATACAGTAACATATGTTGAGAAAAATATCAATCAGAGCAAATCAAGAAGAGTGAATACAAATACCACAAATAATCTGAATCAAGAATCACCCTCTATAAATTCTATTTCAGAAATGAAAGTTGATGTTGCAGAAAGTGTGTTAAATAAGAACAGACGTATTTCGAATATGGAAACGGAAACTGTGAAAGAATCAATCTGTGACACAAACGCAAGTGCTGTCGGAAAAGCCAAAGGCAAATTAATCCATAATACCTATTCAGAATTTAAAAAAGCGAGAAGGACTTCAGGCTCAGAATCGTCTGAGACAAACAATGTACAAAACACTTCCTTTCAATCGTCTTACAATCAGGTTACGAAGAAAAAAGTAGATAATATGCGTAAAGCGGATACGACAGACAACCATTAAGTAAAAACGGGTTCCTTAATTTTAGTTCAGTTCAAAAGCTTTATAACAATATACTTAAACTTGTAGAGCAATTTCTGTAAAAACAAACAAAAACAAGCAGAGGTTTAGAGTGCTTGCACTACACTCATGTATTGTAAATATTGACATATTTTAAAATATAATTAAACTGACCATATCTGTACTATGTGCAAGACTGGTCCGTTTTTTAGCAAATTTTAATCTTACAGAAATATGAAAAAAAAAAAAAGAAAAAAACGGTATTGTGTCATGTTCATAGTATCGAATCTGTGCATTATAAAGTGGAGAGGCATCATAGACTGAAGTACTGAATAGTTTTTAATATGCGTTCTTCTGGATGTTCTATATTTAAAAAGTATTATCATTCACATTACCGCTTTTTTGTACTATTTTCATGATACGTCTAATATATCCTCCCAAATATTTACAGTGCTCTATACTCTTAAATTAATTATAAAATTCAGAAAGAAGTATACAGGATATGTTCTTTTCGTGTACATTTTTTAAATTGTGCCATTACATTTTTAAGTATTTAACGTATAAAATAAATACAAATGTTTTGCATCATCATCTTTTATAAATAACAAATTAATACATATATTAAGTACTTGTAAATAATTAAAAATCTCATAAATAGTTCTCTTTTTTTAAATATTAACTATAGTGTAAGATATTCGCATATTAGCACAGAACTTCAGTTTCTAATTGTATATGTATAAATACTTAAAAGGAATGTTATTACAATATGTCAGCTGGATTATTTGGTACACCTGTAATTTCCCATATCGTAGCTGCAAGTCTTCTTGAATGTTCTAACACACATGACGATGTTGCCAAACCGAGATGAACACAATAAAGCTCATAAATTCTAATCTTATTAGTAGAAAGTTTAGGAAAACACGTTTCCGCTAATTTTCTACAAAATTATAAAATTAGTCAAAAACTTACAAGGTAAATATTTAAGTACAAATGGTACAAACCTGTAATAATCACCGCAAAATATACCGGGTATTGGAAAATTTTTCATTACATGATTCAAATAGATTTTACATTTTAATGGTGATCCCTGCGAAATATTATATAATAATAATAATAATGCGGTACTATATGCTTATTACTTCAAAATTATTTACTTACAGAATTATCCTCAAACCATAAAAAGTAAGCATAATTAAATGTTGTGTCCTTCCACATGACTGATAAGTGTCCTTCTTCTAAATGCATTCTACTTTGTTTAACCATGTTCCATATCTATAAAAGTAATTCATAAGCTACTTGTATCAATCTTATTTTAATTTTTGATAAATTACCTTTCTTGTTGTAAGTGCAAGAGTTTCAGGATTTGTAAAATCTAGTGTTGGAGCAGTCAGTCTGTGGGTGATTCTGTCTATGTAGATAAAATGCACAAGGCCTGGAAACTCTTCTAGATATTTATTGATGGTTAGGGAAGTTCTCGTAGATTATATGGCATTAAGGAGCTATATTTTCTTATGTAATTTATTAGAAAAAATAGAAAAAAAAAAATCACGAATATATATATATAGATATAGATATATGTAATTAAGAAAGGATATGATCCAAGAGTAAAGTTCTTCAATGCTTTTACTTTAAGAAAATCGCTAAAGTCATTCAGCTTTTGACGAACAAGTTTTCCTACCGTTGTAAGTACATCAACGCCTTGTTTTAAAAAATTTTTATCGAAACACGTTAATCGATATAACTCTTTTAAATTATCTGTGAATCCAGATGTATTTGACTCGATTTGAAGAATTGATTCTGGATCTCTGGATTTTAATAAATCCATATACTTTTTTCGAACAAATTCCCACTTTGTTTGTAATCTTCTCTGGCACATATCAACATCGTTACTAACGTTAGCTCTATTTTTTTTAATTCCGTCTAATGCTTTCTTCATTGCCAAGTCAAAGTTTTCAAATGCCGGCCGTAGTTCGTCGATATCTCTTTGAAGTTGTAAACCATTTATGATATTTAAATAATGAAAACTATCATATAATCCTGATGATGTAGCGAGATTAGTTACTTCTACTATCATGATAAGATTAATACCATCTGCTAGTTCAAAAATATGAACTGCATTAGCAGTGTAATCATGCTCGGTTCCGAGTAAAATCAAATTACTGTATAAATCATCATCCATCAAGGAATAAAGTCCTTCGTTGATGGAAGATTCTCTTGAACCTCCTATAATGAAGTAACATATCAGAGTATAATACTAACTTATAACTTAATGAAGTTAGTGAACATCTTATGATAGTAAAAACCATACTAAATAAATTTGTAATATCTTCTGAGGTAGGATTTGAAAGCTTCGCTCCAAAAGTGATCTGCTCCTCTTTAGAAGAACTACTTTCAGGTAAAAGAATGTCAGTATAATCATCATTACTGCTATCCACTTCAGACTGGATATCCCCTTTTCTTTTCTGGTTAACTACCCAACATAGGAGCATCATTAGTAATATATCAGAAGCACACAAGTCACGGGCATTTTTACTAGAGTACAATGAAAGAAATTTTTGTTCCACTAATATTAAGATGTGTACATTAGAAAACTCAGATTGTGCCTTTAATTTATCACAAGCATCATGTAGTACTTTTAATATTGCTACACCCAAGTCTGTGTTTATTGATAGTTGCTCTATTGATTCTGTAAGCATACTTTGCTCGCAATTTCTTAAATGTATCCATGCATCTAACAAACAAGACACTAAACAGACTTTTTGTTTGTTTAATTTTAATCTGAAATTAAAACAATGTAATATTATACAGTTTTCTAGAAATACATTTTGTAAACAGTATTCTAACTTACACTGCAACATCTGGTCCACAAACATGCCTTACAATTGCTACACATACCCCTAATGTTCTTTTCATTAATTCTACTTCATCCATAGAAATGTAAATAAAAGTGTATCCCATAAATTCATCAAATACCATATTTGTGCCGTCATGACATCTCATTGAAGTATAAGAATTTCCAAATTGAGAAGCCATTACATGTTGAGATGTAACAATAGGTGAAAATAATTGCATTATGACATTTGGATTTAATTTTGAATCTTCATTATCTGCATCTTGCTAAAACATAAATTAATATTTACATATATAAATGTTATAATGTTTATTAATATTGTATAATTAATGAAAATGTATACTTTTATATTTTTTTTTAAATATTTTTGACATTTGGACAGTACAATACATGCTTTTTGTTTTATGTTAAAAATATAATATTCCAGTATTTTAATTATTGCTTAACTTATTATAAGAATATATACATATATTTTACTTTAAATGTTATAAAACAATTAGAAACCTACCTTGTTTTCAGAAATCAAACCTTGAATTTTCGCCAATCTTTGTATATGATTCACAAACTTTTTATTACATTTCGTAAAAAGAACATCATTTAAATGATCAAAGATTAAAATACCCTTCATTTTATAATTTAATTAAAAATACTCTTGTCACTACACGATACAGTTAATCGATATTTGTTAGTGCATTAATGTTTACATTCGTGCTGATTCAATTCACGAAAACATTGTCGAATATCAAGCAATAGTTTAATACCTCCAGTACACTCGCCTGGTCATTTCATTCACCGTTCATATACGACTGCTTATAATAAGACTCGTTTAACTAGATTTACAATACAAAAATATAAGCGATGAAGTTGATTACCTACTTTACGTGCCTTTCAGTTCTACGCTAGATGTCCCTTAGTCGCAAACTGTTCTAGCGCATAATTCGAACAGTCGTGCGTGGAAAAGCAAATGATTTGGTAAACTGAGAATTTTTAAATTTACATTTCATACTTAACTTATTTGATATCTAGATTTGATTTTTGAAACTTTTTAAGGAATACACGCACAGATAATTATTTTACACAATGTTACTTAATTGCAATTTAAAAATTAATTACGAAAAAATTTGTCAATTCAGAAATTGCATATAACGTAAATGACTTTTTTATTTATTTACTTGATAAATAGTATCACATGCACATAAAAATGAACATATAAAAAATAAAATAGAATTCACTACGTATTTGTGTATCCATAATTTATGGAGTTATTGCGCTAATTTATAAAATAATTAATAAAAAGATAGTAAAAAAAAATTCTGCATTTTATAGTCGGTTGCAGATTTGCAGGGGACATTTGTATGTATTTTTAGGTTATATAAATGAAAGTGTATTTCTTACAGTATATATTCAAAATTTAGGGATATATTTTTTTAAAGTTAGGAAATTTTATTTAAATGCTGACTTATAAAGAATCAAACTTTTATTTCGATAAAAATTCAAACGAACAAAGGTTCATTTTGGTAATTATTTGCACAGCATAAAATTTGACAAATTGATTAACAAATGACAACAGCAGCAAAAAATTTAAATAAATACTATACAATCATATTAAAATAAAGTTATTACTTTTTATCAACAAGTAACGCACATTTAGTAGTTTTTTGATAATTTAAGATTTATTTTTAATTGGTTTTATGAAAACCGTACTTTAGTTTTAAACAAATTATAAGATGCGAGAGTACAATTTCCAAGATATTTATGAATAGTGCTTTTTAAATTAATAAATAAAACAAAGCGAATGAAGCTTTATATAAATACAGTAAACCCTTGATTTTAAGGATTAATCAGAGTAACGATAATTAAATGTTTAAGAATCGAAGCAATCTTAATTCATAACTTAAGATCATAACTTTATAGTTTATGTTTGTCGTCTATCTGGGTAAAAATCCGTAAAATCGAGAGTTTATTGCAACATTCAACATCGCTTTCGGATAAAGTAACGTCAGCCCGCTTTGTAATAATATTCGCATCATAACCTCACCATCATTGATTATTCAACACTCGAATAATTACCTGAACAAGTATTCATTTAATATTTGCATAAAAGTGACAACACAGTCCTCAGTATATATGTTATATTCGACTAGATTATATTATATAAGTCTCTCTACTGTTTTTTTCTTTTTTTTTTTTTTTTTTTAAGTTTTACATATTTTTGACTGTTTGGCTTCTTGTCAGAGGCGAAACTGCCTAGAGCCTCTATTACACATGTACAGTGTATCTAATGTCGCATATATCAATAGAAATAATCTCAATTCTCAATGGCCAAATCAATTGGACACTATAGTTATAATAATAATTGCAATAACTTTCTAGATCCTTTCTTTCTTCTTACATACTACTATTTTGAAAGTTTCGTATAAACCCTGCTAAAATTACATCAACTGTGACGTTAATCATTCACTGATCTGCAATCATAGTTCCGAATTTCTGAAATAACTGGTTTCACCATAGCTTTCTAATGGAACGTATTTTGCTTTAAATTATCACGACCATTAACATAAAATATAGAGTTGTTCGTCGAAAGTCAGACTGTCATTTCAGTTTTGCGGTTATGGAAACTATAGGTTATGTGCGTTGAAAACCGAAAGTAGTTTTGACAAGATTCTGCTAAATATTTGTGCACATGTGAAATGATATTGTAATCTTAAAAAAAATACTTCCGACGTTAAAAGTGAATCATTTTTAAATGATAGTAATTTCGTAGACGTCTGAAATATCGACAAGTACATTTGGTATTCTTTTTCACGTAAAAAAAGGTTCTTAATCTATGATTATTCTAGTTTGTTATTTACGATCAGGCCTATACATTTGGCGCATCGTCAGCGCTACAAATAATATTTATCTTGAAACATATTGCATTTTTTCACATATATGTTAATAAATATTTGCTCACACAAATGGCGCTAAAAGAAATTTACATGCCACCTCGTTCGCTAGCATCGAAAATATATGCGCTACTAATAAAAAATAATATGTGCAGAATAAATATACACTAATAACAATAACAGCAACAATATAAGCTCAGTAATTCTTTCCGATGCAGTTAAAACAATCGTTAAAAAAATTATTCAATACAACATAATAACAATATATTACTCTTTAGTGATTTTTGGAAAATAATATCTTAAATAGAAATATGCTATCCTTAATTTTGTTTATAAAAAATTCGTAGAGTCGTTGACAGTATAATAAGTTCTTTCGCAGTAATTATAAGTTATTTTTTTAAATTATAATGATATAATTTACGATATTTCATTTACAATGAAATTATACACCGACATCTTAAATATCGTACGTTTAATCAAAATAAATATCCCATATCCCTATCCCATTGTTACTTTTTGCAAAATTACTGCGTTAAAAATTTAGACTTATTTATGATACAAACACGTGATGCTGTTTATGTGTGATACTTCGTGTCACGAGTATCAATCTACGAGATGTGATAATGGTTAGAATTTTACGAGGTACAGTTACAAAGTGACACCTGTTGCCGCTTTTTAACATTATAAGTGTAGACATACATTGATTTAAATGTTGCAACAAGATTTATAAAAATAATCATAAATAGTAACAATATCTAGATTAGGTTATGTTACATAACATTTGTAGATTATTAAATATATATTATTCAAATTTTCTTTCGAATGTTTCTTTTTCTAATTTAATTTAATATGCCTTAAATCGAAGAAGTTAAAAATAGGATAATGAATTAAAAATAAATACTGATGATAAAAGTTCTAAAACATAATGACAGTATTTTATATTTTCATTTAACTTAATTAATCGTTATATATACCATAATTATTGCAACAAATAAAATATCACTTTATTACTGTCCCTCATAGTTGCGTGGTTGTAACTCATTAGAAACAAGCACGCGTATTTGTATGTACGAATCGACTTGAAACACGAGCACATGATTTTTACTTAAAGGAAAAACCAGAAACGTCGTTAATTTCTAATTTGAGTGACAATAGAGATAATCATTTTTTATCGAATATAGGCCTTTTTGTATATATGATTACGTGGCGATCGATTATTGTATCACGCGCTTATACAACAAATACGCTAGGCTCGGTCGGTAAATGCGTCAGATTACAGTTCCATAATTAAAGCAAAGCTCATTATAAAAATTTTCCGAGTTACACTCACTCATCGATTTACAAACAAATTATAATAAACAATGTAAATTAGTCAGCACTAAATGTAGAAATACTAACAACCGTTTTATATTTGAATGGAAATGCAGAATAAAAATTTAGAAATTGCTTTTTATTATATATAAATGTCTTCTCGTAAATTGACATCTAAACATCTACAGTTTTGCGTATTGGGAAAAATATTTATATATTTTGGCAGCATATAATCTTCCTAATCTTTAAATGTCATATTAGTTTAATAATTAACAGCTTAACTTACTAATACCGGTGAGCGAGTGTAATGAAATTTCACTTCACAGTAAGTTTTCTTACTTTTCTAACGTTTTGAAATATGTGAGGAAATTTACAAGAAAAGCGGCACCCTTACATATAAAATAATATATATTTTTATAAAGGATTTAATGATTCGAACAAATTTTTTGGTTTAACATTTGTGCCTTGAGAAATAGGTACTGTATCTTTTAGACTTTCATGTGAAATGTCAACGAAAACAGATGCTTTCTTTGACGTAGGTTATGAAGCTCACCTTTTTAATTGTTAAACATAAGCACATTGCGTGCAGAGTGTTTAATGGTGTGATGCATTGACTACTTATTAAACACTCATGTGCGTTTACCATACGCATATTCTTACTTCACTTTGAACATTGGTTCGCATTCAAGATATCAAAAGGAACAGAACTATTTAATATGCTTCTTCATGATTTTTTATAACTTTCCAGCTCTCACCTTGGTGTTTCAATTTGCAATAGGAATATTTTCATTTCTTCCGACACATTCCACCCGTTCCCGTGCATCGAAACGACGAGATAACCTACAAATCTTTCTTACTTCGTGTATACTCCGTCAACACAACTCACAACTTTCAAAATACACAACGTTCAAAATTATTTCCGCACTAACTCCCTTCGTTATCAAACCAACATGTGCGTCAACTTCGATACGGTTCTTCGAGCAGTCGAAGAATCTTTCGCTCTCGAGGTTTGCAACTCGAGAGATCGTTTCGGCGAACGTCGATCATACATGAACTTGTCGAGAAGCTATCGCGTGTCCTTGTACCGTGGACACACTCCTCTGAAACTATCCGGGAACTCTCGCAGACGTTTTAGCACCGACAAAGCACGCCTCGCATTCTGAACGCGAGAAACCATCTCGACCGGTCACGGACCGGAACACATTCACGCCTTATTCACTCGACATCAGTTGCACGCTGTCGTCCGCTGATCTATGAAGTCGCCGAACGTCTGACAATGAACGAATTGGCGTTGGGTGCAACAATGAGAATGTGTGCGAGTGGCGATCTGAAAAATTGTAATAGAAACGCAATGTCTTTGTCAACACGATGTTATTCAATATTTGTTTCGTTATTTTTATATTTCGTTCAACATTTGATAGTGTTTTGAACCGTTCATAACCTCTACAAAACATTGTATAATATTTTAGAAAGAACAAAATACCGATAAATTTTTATTTCGCGTTTAAACAGTGTAAAAATTGTAAGTTACATAAAATATATTGCAAGGAAATAAATTAAATTGTAATGTAACACGTGTAATTGCATGCACCTTACACTGATAATTGCGTACGTGCAAGCGCATACACTTTGCATAACAAGTTGTACATGCATTGATGCATTGTAAGCTGCGTCACAAGTTTTGAATTTTGTTGCTTTTATTTTATGTAATGAATGGTCTTATGACTACAGGCGTTAAAGTAATTTATAATCTCTATGCTAATCAATTCTTTACGTGTGATATTTCTTCTCAAATTGAAATATGGCATTTAACAATTGTCCAATAAAAATGTTTGCCTGTTTATTTTCTGTTAATTCTTGCAAATTAATTCTCTCCCTTGCTTGAACATTTCTGAAACATTAAAGCGTAGCAAGCAAGCTGGGGTTACTGCCCTAGATAAAAAATGCAATGTTTTATGTGCGTGCATGTGAACCACGAACGGACGATATAAAAAATCGCGCAATGCGACAAGTTGGAGGCGATTAGATCAGTCACGCGCGTTTTCAGCACTAGCAGTAAATCAGGCAACAAGAAAGAATAAAGGGAGTAGCGACAATCCTGCGTCACGCAGTACTGTCACAAAGATATCGATAAATTCTTATCTTGTCTATTTTGTCTTGAATTTTTAATATTTATATTTCACATTATCTTATATTTACTGCCTATATTTATATTATTAACTGATTGATGCAATATTGAACAATAAGACAGTAAATGTAATTATTGAATACCGATACTAATGTCATTAATGTAATATTAAAGAGATGAAATACTCTTGCAAATATTACAGCACATAGCAGCACAATTTAAACAATGATACAACGTAATATCAAATAATAGTGTATCACCAATACCAACATAACACTGATAGTACCAACGCAATCTCCAATAGTATTATAGCATTAATTCCACTAATTAGTACCACTGCATTATCAGCATTACACTGACATTATTACAGTACCAATCCTAGTACAATTTCAATTCCAATATAATACAACCATCGGTCTATTATTATTCCCAACTATCTGCAAACATTTCAAGCGTTAATGGGATGGAAATCGAATCGTAATGTTATTGTTTGTGAAATCGAGGACTCACCAAACTGTATAAATAAAGCCTCATATCACAACGGGAACCTCGTAATTTCCCATTTAATTAGAGTTAACGTCGATAGCTGCCTATCTCGGGAAGAGGGACGTAAATATTTTCCGCGAACGGAAAGTCGATGAAGAGCCGATCGAAAGTCAGGGCACGCCCACCGTGCTACGAATCGTTAATTTATGCGGGTTAAAAATAAGGTGAAATCGATCGCGTCTATACGTCTGTGAGCGTGGCGGGCATCAAGGTCGCGAAATAAGTGTCCACTGCGAATACATGAATTCGCTAATGCGCCGAAGAAGCGTGTCCGTTCCGTGATTTCCATATTGCTCCGCCATATTGTTCTCTGAACCCGCGCTCTTTAAGCCGCATTCTCAAGGATCCATGCTTGTTCGCATGGATCTAGAATGCTAGTTAGAGGAACTATCGGTAATTACCGTTTAATTTATTCATCGATCGCAGGATTTCTGCAAAAGGGAAATGTAATTAACCGTACGTGTACGTACGCGACTGCCTCGTCGCGTGTGTGTAGGGCTTAAGGTATTTATGCGCGGGAACTTTTATATCTACCCTATTGGCGTTAAAAAAGATGCAGGTCCTATTTAGAAAGGATCTATTTAGAGTGACCTTGGGACGGCCTTGACGCCTCCACCTATCGATCTGTCTTTGTGAAATTCTAATGAGTTGCTCGAATTATTTCAATTTCTAAGTGGCTCCGATTTTGTCCGTTCCGCTTAATGCACTTCTCGTGTTAGTGTATCGTTTTGAGAATTCAAATATGGCGACCCATGCGCTATTTTTGATCGATGATCCGCGGACATTTTAGGCTGATTAAGGGGCTCGATAATTTCGTGTAATTGGAATACGTGATGGCTGATTCGTACTTTGACTTTGTATTTTTAACTTCGATGGTATTAGGTATTTTTAAACAAATTAGTGAATACAACGCGTTAAATTAGTATCGTTAGTAGTTTATGAATGGTATTTTGATAAGAAAGGAGTTAACATTACATGAAATGAAATTTTAGAGACTGATGTATCGTCATTTTGGAGATCACGTCAAAAAATTATGCAACATCATGGAATCATCGAAATGCAAAAGAAATAATTTTATAAAAAAAGGAAATAGAAGGAGAAAATAATAAACAAGTTATTCATTTAATAATTTCAGGGAGAAACGACTAATTCGAAAGTGTTTACGAATAACCTAAAAAATTCCTTGAAAAATTGATATAACTTCAGAAAAAGGACTTACTAAGACTACCAAAGGAGAGATAATCCATAAAAACGCTGTAAACCATCTGATAAATGTTTAATAAAAATTACAAATAATAATTCGTAAATAAAACAAAAGTGACAGAGAACAGGAGAGCGTTTCGAATTACTGATCCAAAATCTAGGAAAGTAATTTCAAACAACCTACGAATTATCTAATAAATTATTAATAACGCTAAAAAAAGGAGAACAAGATAAAAGTTATTAAGTTAATAACTCAAAAGATAGAAACTCAATTTTAAACAGCCATTGAATCCCTTTTTTGTACCTCAACTTTCCAGCAATAATTAAAACTAGATTACTATGTTTACAGGATGGGAAACCACAAAATCAAGAGCGAGACGTGATCCCCATTGACGTCATGTGGCGAGCAACGATGAGACGCTTGATTATAAGAAACTAATATTTATTAAAGCATCAGATCAGCGTTAAGGACAAGCACCAAGCTTACGTTGCTATAACTTATGCACCTGAAGCACGCAAACGATTCCTACTGAGAGAGAGAAAGACAAAGAGAGAGAAAGAGAGAGCTACCAGTTGTACATATCCACGTATATGCATATACCCGTATACGTGATAGCCTGCACGAAGAAAGCGTCGTTTCATTAAAGTAACATACAATGTCTATTCGTTTGGACTCGCACCTCTGATATCCGTGGATGGCTCGCTTCTGGACAGCTCGTGATCGTTGCTACGGCACGATGTCGCCTTCGAGGGGCTTTTATAGTGCGCCAACACGTCGTTTTTCCCGGACGTGGTCTGATTCTGATGGGGAAAATGGAAGGTCGTGGTGTGGGGCCATGATGCGGGCGGCGGACTTCGCACCAGGTGCTCGTGCACTTGGGCTAAAGTTAGGGGGTCGGTGTCGCCCAGTTCCTGTAAAAGAGCAGACATTTTATTCACATGGGATGTACCAATGACCTTATCAACCTGTGCGGATAAAAATAAGACGAATACGTCGCGTGAGCCTACAGCCATAAATAAATGTCTCCGCGCTAAAATAATGATATTTTTTTATTCATTCTTCGATGCATCGATTCATGGTTGTACTTAGGATCGTACCATTATTCGCTAAATGCTTCGTGGGAACTAAAATATTATAAAATAGAAAGTGAAGTGTAAAGAGTGTGGTATTCTACACTCGCGTGCACGGCGGGTTGCTCGATGCCAGGCGCCTGAAAGTTGTACTTTCAAAGCTTAGTAGTGGAAGATAAAGCTTTGAACAATACTTTATTTGACGAAAAATATCACTCTGTGTTTCGTTAAATTATAGTCTTAAAACATCTCGTACATATTTTGCATATTATATATATCAATAATGTTTATATTTTAAAGATATTAATACTGATTTTATTTTCCCAATTTTAGGAAGAAAATGTAAATGAAAGCATTAAATTTGTATATCCTATTGTTTCTAGAAACTGTTTATTCGTTTGTAAATAATTCTCTCCGTAATATAATTGGCCTTAGTGACACGTTGCTCTCAGAATTAACGTACAATAAATCCGTATGTAGTATTTCCTTAATCTTAATCCGCTTGTTGAAAACAGGATCATCTATAATTGGATTTTTATATTTTGTTTGCTTTAATGTTTTATCCTCGTAGTGTATTACTTTAATAAAATTAACAATTTATATATAGTTCTTGTAATTTGATCACTCTATACTGGTAAAAATCTATATACTTTATTTATCAAAATTTGTTTCAGATTATTTCTGTATCTCCATAATTCACTATACTTATAATTTTCTAAGTCCTTAGTTCCTGCCAAAATTGATCAAAGCTTCATCTTTTCAAGAAACTTTTATTCACTGGCATTACCATTACAGGGCCATAAATTTTATTGATAAGCAACCCAAGTACCTAGTTACTACTAATCTAAGAGACCTATGTGTAGATTTACTATTGAGTTTCTTTAGCCTTGAATGTTTAATTAGATCTAAATTTTGTTATATATCATATTTTGACATTCTTTTTTTTAATTTAAAATAGTATTGTCCACCTCTGTCTTTATATTTTCTGCATAATAATTTTTGAAATTTTGTTAACTAACGTTATTTTTAATAATTAAATATTGTTCAACAATTAAATGTTTTTGTTCTTGCTTTCTCCATGAAAAGTGTTCAAGGTTTCACCCTTTTTGACAATTGAAGATTCTGGAATTCGTCCAAAGTTTAACAATAGTATGTAAGTGGAGTACATAAAGTCTCGTGTGCTAGACATTGTATAGCAAGGCCTATTGTAACCGTGCATCGTCAGTTCAGGGTTAATAGAATGAATGTACCAGCCTCTATAACAGACAACTGTTATGAATGATCGATAATTACTGATTCTACTACCGGCAAATCGACCCCTTGTATTATTTTCCAGCAATATTACCCTTGGAATGAATTGTAAAAGCATTAGTCCTAAGTGATTCACTATAATTAACATTTTGATAAAATAGTTTTAATTTCTTCCTTAGTATTTATACTGTTAATGTTATGTATCAATAAATCACTTGTAAAACTGCAGGAAAATATCATTTTTTGTGTAATACCAACGCTACATTTTTCCCAAGTAATATTTTTAAATAAACCTTTTTAATTGTTTATATTTTTTATTATTTTTAAAAAGATAAATATCTTTTTTTTTAATATTTCAAAATTTGTACCCAGAGTATTCTTGGGTATTTAGATACTTTTCTTTTCTTTTGGAGAATCTTGAAAGTTTCACAACTAACTTGTGTAGATAGTGCGTGAGATCACTATAGTGCTTCAGAATCTTATGTAACTGCTGATACCACGTCAGGTTTCTTGGTATAATCTACCTGCTTTCGGAAAATGTATCCTCTGATACGATATCACTAGTCACGTAAAAAAATGAAAAAAGTGTCACTTATGCAACAGCTGACGCATTCTTGTCTGCCTCCTAATTATCTTTGAAGTAGAAAACACCGAAATAAAGGAATCTTTTACGTCATTGCAGTGAAAAATGTCGCATTTCAAACTACTTGCAAATTTCTGACGTTAATGTTAATCACTAGTCAACAATTAATTCAGATAACTTACAAATATACCAAATAACAAAATAATGAAAATTACTATTATATGATAATATATACACAATTTTAATCATGATCATTTGTAACAAAATTTATATGTTCCAAAATATAGATACTATATGTTCCATATACTATACATAACAGCAGTGAAAAATTTCTTTATCATCCTATTCATAAATTTCTCTATCATCCTTATTCTATCCTATATATTAGTTTTATTTTACTCTACCTTTATTCTACTTCTGCAGAAATTTGTGCAACTTTGAATTCTCCATACATAATTGTTAAATTACTACAGAATTATAATAACAAAATTAAATTCACTGTGCTTGTACTCCACCAATTTACAAGATAATACCATGAAACCTTCTCAAAGATGAAGATACTTCAAAATTTACCAACCTAATACCCTCACAGGGTATGAACTATCCGCAGAACTAGGTAAATATGAAAAGCACAAAGGATCGTTTGTCTGATGGACAGCTTCATCGCTGATACAACTATCCAGATATATCTAGACTGGCCTAAAAATCGTGACATTGGCTGCAGACAACTAAAAATATTTCCCTTTGTCCAAATCATCCATAGAGATATGCAAGATATGCAAGATATCGAGGAGGACATGTCTCATTTCACCACGCAGACTATTTTGCAACAGTAACAGTGTTCAAAATTCACAAACATTAGAAATGCTTATCAGGTGTATCCAATACTCGATTATACAGTCAATCACGACTTCTGAAATATTTTCTCACAACAGATATATCTAGAGTGGCCTAAAAATGGTGACATTGGCGGCAGACAACTAAAAATATTCCCTTGTGAGCCCAGTGTCTTTTGTCCAAACCTCGACAGAGCCAAAACGGTCACGATTCTATTTTGAAAGGTCGCTCGACAGAGGAAGAAAAGACGTGTCACCCTTTAGCCTAGTCGCCTCTCCCCTTCATCGTCTCTCACCCCCTATTCCCCGCTGTCGTTCGCCCTGCTAGCATCAAGTTCACGCTAGCATTAATAATGTAACCTGGCCTGGCGATCGATGCTCCTTTCACGCTCCTATGGACGAAGACAAAGGCGAACGAACGATGGAAATCGCTCACCTGAGACATCAGGATCGCGTCATCTGATTCGGATTCTTCCAAGGACTCGACCAGGCTCTCCCGGCTAGCCAGCACCTGGAAAAGAGAATTTATCGTTGAGTGATACATGTCGACAGAGATATAACTGGTTAGATAGATAAGGGAATTTTGAAAACCAGGAAAGTGGCATGAGTCACGGTTCTATTCGTGTGATTTGGCATAATGGTGATACCGACTGGTTGAATCCTACGAAATAGTGCTATCTGTTATCTATGCTCGTCGAGAGCTTGTTGTTAAGGGGACATGTGGGTGAGTCAGTGCATATGTGACGTTTTGCTGTTCGAGCATAGGGGTATGAATTTATGCATGTTTCATTTTATGAATACATTTTGTGGCAGTGAATTTAATTCACTTTGTGGATAGAGGGAATTGTTAGCTCAATTTCTTGCAATTTATGCAATTATTATAATTATAACAGTAATATAAAAGCTATGATGACTTACTAGCAATGAGTTATACTGGTTTTGAAAAGATTCCAAGGGCCCTTTGATTAGTAGATACAATCTTTTGAATCTTTCATTATGGTAATTTCTATAATACAGTTTGTCTGCTTTACAATGCTCAATTCATTGCAATTTGTGCATTTATTATAATTATAACAGTAATATAAGAGCTATGATGAATTACCAGCAATGAGTTATTCTGGTTTTGAAAAGATTCCAAGGGCTCTTTGATTAGTAGATAGTCTTTTGAAGCTTTCATTATGGTACTTTCTATAATAAAGTTTGTCAGCTTTATAATGCTCAATTCATTGCAATTTGTGCATTTATTATAATTGCAACAGTAATATAAAAGCTATGATGAATTAATAGCAATGAGTTATTCTGGTTTTGAAAAGATTCCAAGGGCCCTTTGATTAGTAAATACAGTTTTTTGAAGCTTTCATTATGGTACTATCTATAATAAAGTTTGTCTGTTTCAAAAAGTTGTCCAAGTGCCTGGAAATGTTATAGCATATGAAAAGAATCTTAAAAGTCAGTCTGAGCCCTATTTAATATCTATGTTCTGTAAATTTGTTATTAGTGGAAATATGAATATAGTTGGTTATTAGAAGTAATGCATTTGAAGTGTAGTATTAATAGGATTGATGGATGGTAGAGTGGTATAGAAAACTGGGACAGGGTATAGGTTTTTTCTTTGGATAAAAATAGAAAGAAAGTGGTACGTGGAGATTGGATGGGTTAATGAGCTTTATCTTTGGATGAATTGCTTTCATGGAATGTACCTTTTACTATGTATTTATAAAGGTATTAAGGTATTAAGGTATTGGTGAGCAGTTAAAATATTAATTAAATATTGAAAATACTGGAGAAGAGAATTTTAAAATAAAGTATTAGAAATATGGAAGAATCGAATTAAAATGTTTAATGTTTCAATACTTGGAATTTCCGAAATTAAATCATAGATTTAAAATAGATGAAACGTATTACTTTGTAAATGAATCGAGTCATTCTTAATAATTAATCACTCCCATTAATGAAGAGGTTAAAAAAGAAATCCGCAGGTCAAGCGCGAGGCTATTTCTCATCTAGAGATCTTGAAAACAGCATAATTTTAGATAATCTATGGTAGATGAAAAGTAGTAAATATTCATAAGTTGTTAATAAACTCTGTATCATCTAGTTTTTCTATTTCTGACACAAGGTATAAAAATTCCAGCTGAATGAATATGTGAATCTTGTTCGAACGGAATTATGAGTCACTATGCGCGGTAAGTATACTGTAGAAAGGAATGAATTATGTTGCTGTAGCGTGCAAGGCGCTTAATGAAATAATGAAAGCTGATTGCAAATGGTGAATGAGCGAACGATTCTTCTGGTTCTTACAAAATCAATGCCTATTGTGTTCTATTACATAATGTTCCCTCTAAATAAAAATTATCACTTATTGCTATCACTCATTTAACCATAATCACATTCTCAACTACATTAATTGTGTAAAACGTCTATGATTATTTACAAATTAAATAAATAAATAGAAAACATAAATTATTAATTTAGAAGTAAAAAAGAATTTTTAAATAAAATCAATAAAGCTAGTACTATAAAAAAATTCCCCATTACATTGTTACTATTACTTCACATTCAATTAATCAAAATCTATCACAATTACTCAAACAAAATTCTACAATTACCTAAACCTTATTACAGTAAAACCAAAAATAATTTGTGACTCATACAATTCTCTCACTACCTTTGAGTCACAATTATCTAATTTTTAATAAGTCATAAAACCGGAAGTCATCATTATCCGACCCAAAAGAACCATTCTTCCAATACAATCAAGTATCTCCTAACTTCCTGACGCTCGTATTTAATTCTTCCAAAGTCTTCTCTATTTTATCTTATCTCCAAGGATAAACTAGCTTCATCTTCCAGTATTTTCTCTCCTTCTTCGCTATCTCTATCTTTCGCCCGTTTGTAAACGAGGAACAGGGGGCTTATCGATTCGAACCTGTAGGAAAGGATTATCCTGTCGACTTAGCCTAAGCGCCTCCATATCCTGATCGATGTTTCGTGTTCTACCAGGTGTCAAGGTTAAAATGGAATGCGACGGTGATGGCTGACAGGCGACGACGACATCGACGGCTGCCACGCTCAAGGTCGACGGAATCCTCGATACCTGGTTGTCGTTTTCGCTACCGCTGCGCCTGCAGGCGTTCGTGATGATCGCTGAAACACACATAATCGTTCTTTATTAATCGTTCCAATTTTTATGAAATACATCCAATTTACACAGACCTGCCAATTTTTACTTCCCATTTCATTTTCCATTTCCAACATATATGACTACGAATTTAATTTATCTATATCTCGGAATACCCTAAGTCAATCTACTCCATAATCAAGGTATGCAACATATCGACGAGGACATGTCTCGTTTCACCATGCAGATTATTTTGCAGCAGTACAGTATTCGAAATTTGTAGATATTAGAAATGCTTATCAGGTGTATCCTATCATACTCCATCTTACAGTCAATCGTGAGTTCTGAAATATTTTTCCAGGGAGTGGACAAACGCACGTGTGTCCATTCCCTGTGCACATACGTCGAAAAAGGGACGACAGGGTGTGGTTCCTAACAAAACAAGCAGCAAGCACGGAATGTTTTTCCACCTGAGGCTTGGTTTTCGTGATAATCGATTACGTGGACTACGTAGCCAGTGTACCATTCGATTTTATCGAGTTTTCCTCTCCATTTTCCCTCCCGCCATCGTCGACCACTCGAGAGTACCGTGCAATTCCGCAACTTCGTACTCGTACTAAAATTAATTTCATTTCCGAACTAACGGCTCCTCGTTCTTTAAAAAGGCCAGGGAGTATTTCTGGATCGGTCTGAAAACCATATGAAATGCAAGGGAATCGATGCAACGTTTATCGGACGATCGTTAATTGGGCCACGAGTGTTGATTCTCGTTATCGTGGATCCCTCCGCGCGCTTGTTATCGAATGAAAACTGCAACTAAGTGTCACTTTGTTTGCCACAACATCGCTCGCCATCGCAGCAAACACGTATAGATCGGATTTGGAAAATTTTCTGCGACCAATGCGGACATTATAAACGATTTAATTGGATTTTAAAGGAATTGGAGAATTTTTGTAATTCGACGCCTATGCGAAAAATTTGGAAATATTTCATAAATCGATCTAATTCGTACTTTCGAGAAATTTTGAAAGTTTCGATCATTTTTCAAGGTTTCACTTTCGTTTGTAAAATTTGGGAAATTCGAAATTTGGTAATTTCTGATAATCTAATCTTCCTTCAGAGAACTCCAATAGTTTAGATAACGCAATACCCCCTTAAATTTTCGATAATCTGATTTTCACTTAGAGGATTCAGAAATGTTACGTAACTTAATACCGTTTTGAGATATCCCGGTATCTTACATAACCTAATTCGGCTATAAAGATTCGTATAACTTAATATCAAGTGGATAATCGAATCCCCATTATGGGGGATCAGAAATTCTGAATAATTAAATCCCTTTCGAGTAACTCATAAACCTTCTATAATTTAAACCCCCTTTCGAAGAGTTCCCGCAATTCATCATCGTGCATATAATTTATTCCTCGTTAAGAAAATTCCACGATTTTAGGTATTTAAGCTTTTACATGTTTAAAGGGTCCCAGAATTTTTGAATAATTCAACCATTTTCCACGAAATTTCGAAACTTCGCACGATTTAATCGCCCCCTTTCGAAGAATTCAGAAATCTAATCCCCTATCTCTTCCAGACCCGCATAAAAGACACTGTTCCCTGTTTCGAAAGTCCAGAATTCGTGTCACTGGTTATATAACAAAGATAGGAGAAATAAAAAGTAATTGTTTGGTCGATATCACCGGCTCGATGTTCGTATGCACGTTGGAAAAGTTCTGTCGTCCATGTTCGAGCTGCTAATTCATTATCATATAGAAGTTGCACGAAACTGTGCACAGAGGAATGAAAATTCTGTTCATAAATTACTATTATTAATTGGACCTGGGAATAAAATAGTCCATTAAATTATTTAACAAATCCATCAGGATCCTTTATGAACCTGATTGTTAAACCAAAAATGACAGAACAAAAAATAGAAAAAATTAATAAAAAAAATAGGTGTTCATAGTAATCGCGTTGATACACAAAATACAGTCAATTTTTCAATGAAATACATCGATATTCTAAGCTTACGCGAACGTGACATCGAATTCTTGGATTACATTCTATATCTACGCCATTACAAATAAACGCACGCTTTTGTTCCTTTATTTTCGTATAATTTACTTCTCCAGGAAATTCTTCGATTAATTACCGAGCACTTCTGAAATAAAAAAGAAAAAAAAAGAAAAATTTTCTCTTCTCTTCGAGCTTTTCTTAGGCGTTCCTCTTCAACGTGTGCGCGGGTGTACGAGCACTAGGCGCGTTGTGTGCAAAAGTTTTTCTCGCGCGTGGCTCTACCTGAAAAAAGTGCTTTTCAAGCGAGTTCGAGGGAAAGCAATTAAGCAACGAAATTTATATCGATTCCGTACATCGTGGAAGTCGAAACGTGCAGAAATATTCATTTTCGTCACCCTTTCGGACGAGTATCCGGTAATGATCTTTTTTCACTCACTTTTCGCTTGCGAATATTCTAATTGGTGGTTCGATTAATTGGCAAATGACGGAATCGGGAACGCTCTGAATCGTGGCTGCAAATTATTAAAGGACAATATCACGGTGATAATTAATTGCAGGATTAATTAGAATATTACGGAATTAGAGATATTCTAAATTGCTGCAGAAGTTATTACACGGTGATTAATATTTAAGTAACGAATATTGCAGTGGTAATTACAAAATTGAGGAACTGAAGATATCCCAAATTGCTGGGAAGATTGCTGAGCCATAATTGTCGTCTAAATGATAAATATTATAACAGTAATTAGTAGAGTAATCAAAAAATTATGAAATCGGGGATATTTCTAATTTATGATTATTATCATAGTAATTGATAACATCGTTATGAAGTTTTACATATCCTAATTTAATAACTTTAAGTCACCATGGAATACCTGATTCTTTCATGCCAAGACATCTTATCAGCAATTTCTCGAGCGATTATTATGCCAAGAATGAAGAAGCCTCTACCTAACATTCGTCACCTGAGAAAATAGGATTCTTCGGACTTACCAGGTGTCTCGACTTTCGGAGCACGTTCCATCTCTTCGTCCTCGTTGATCTTCATACCTAACGTCAGCTTTTTCGACTTAAAGAAGTTCGAGAGAAACGCTGCGCCCTTGCGCTTTACACGATCGTATCGTTGAGTGTTCTCCGACGACACGTGTATCATAATTCGTCTGAAAACAAAAAAAAAAGGAAAAAAAACACTCGATTAGCCTCATCGTCATCTACAAATGCATCTACAAATACATCTGCAAATACGTCTACGAGGAAACGATTCGAAAACTTCTCTGCAGAATGTATCTCTACATACACCAAAAAAAATGACAACTCCATTAACACGCCCACGCACACGATTTCTACTCCAATGCATGAACCAGAATCCTCGAGATCAGAATCCTCCGCAACTCGTCAATGCGTCCGCCACACGTGCCATTTCCACGGTCTTCACTTCATTTCCACCTTTATCTAGCCCATCAGAACCCATCCACTCGCCTACTGTCAACGACCGCGTCGCTCTGACAACGCGAGCGTGTCGTATCTCGTGTAACAGAGGAACAAAAGAACCGAGCGATCTGTCATAAAAGTTAAATGCCAGGTAAAGCCACTCCTAGCTGACCTTTGGTACGGAACCAACGTTCATTGTCAGAGATAACATTGGCATATGCGGCGTTGGTCTATGCACGATCCTCGAGTCGGTCCATCGAGATTGATCATTCACGTTAGGATCATTCGATCCCTCGACGAAGATGGGCCTGTCTCTGAGGATCTGACTCTGTGGCTAAATCGATTTACGGTGTATCAGCAGTCGAAAGTGGATGAGAGAAGCGTGTTGTCGGTTGTTGGTTGGGAGCAGAGGATCATCCGAGGTGCGTCCACGACCCACCGCGATCGCATTGCCAACTGCAGCTGCAAGGAGGGTGTGCTCCGCGGCTCCACGTAGGATTTTGCGCAGCTGCAAGTGGCTGGAATAGAGATGGAGAGCGTTAGGTTAGGGGTGGGAGCGTGCGTGGTGCGACGGAATAAGAGGGAGCGACAAAAAACACCGGGGGACAGTAGCGCGGCGAGGCCACCGCGAAGTGTTTTAAAAGTGGCGCGGGTAAGACCTCTCCCGAGGCTGCTTTACTTCCCTTTCGATCTGTCTGCTTCGTGACCCACATATCTTCTACTTCCTAGAGACGGTACGTTGACGGAGGAATGAGAAATTCGTTTGGTGAATGGGGATCCGAGCTGGGTGGGAGAGCAGTGGTTGCTTTAGTAGGGATGCTGGCTTATCGAGTCGATATCACTTGGAACGTCGTACTCGTTATTTTTTGATCGTTTAGGAAGAGATCCGTGAGTGATGAGTTAGATGACCTGGACATGGTCAATATAAATCACTTGGGGTTGTCATGCATATGGTATTATCAATGTTATCAGTGGTAGAAGAGATTGGAGAGGTGTATCGATGAGCGTTGGGTAGAATTTTGAATGTTGGTTTTGTACCTTAAAACAGGGAAAAGGTAGTGTTAATAATTAAATAATAAGTTTCTTGATTAAATGTATCATGCAGAATGGAAATAAGTTATTGGATATTGATGAAGTTTACAGAATGTAATTTTAAGACTATATGTCACATGGTAGAAAGGATCATATTAAAATCCCATATTTGTATTGTATTATAGCAGTAAAATATGATTGGTTACCTGTCACAGGGGAACAGAGGAGGTGTCAAAAAAATTGATCAAAGGTTTGCACGTGAGCTCTATGTTAAAACGAGAGGAAAAAAGTAGTATTAATATTGAACTCTGGCAAGAGGGAGTGGTTGATTAAATGCTGAACAAATGTACAGAATATGTCAAAAGGGTTGGAAAAAAGATTGACGCGAAGTCTATGAACTAAAATGAAAAAAGTTATATTAATAACTTACATCAACTTTATCTTATGGCAAAAGAAAATGTAATATTTTTAAAATGAATTATGAATTTTTCATAAATTCATTCTTTTGATAATGAGTTGATAAAGATGACATCTCCAAACAGATATTAAATACATCTCTTCCAATTCTGACACATAGAAACCTATCTAAAATTCTAATCCTCTCTTTTGATTCATCCTGTATAGACTACCAATGATAAGTGGAGAGCCTGACGATGACACAAGAAGTACCTGGAATACATCAGAGCTTTTTAAAAACATGATACACAAACGAACATATATTCCACGTTACTTTCATGAGATCACCTGTAATAGCGTGTGAATCGTATTTAAATCCACACCAAGAAGACAATTTTCAGATATTACAAAGCCAATGGCGATTCACCTACACCACGAACCAGTTACCCCACATACAAACCCCTATCCTCTATCAGACCCTATCAAACTATATCCAACAAACAAAAACCCATGGTATCAAAATAAAAGAAATCGATACACCCAAACACCCGAAAAAGTGAGAGCATATAAAATCCAAAATCGCAAAAACCACCCAGCTAACACCATCCATCCACGCTACAAACCTACCCTTCGCTCTTCCCAGGCTTTCACCACCTTTCTGACCTACATTCAGCCAAGACCCCGAACTCCACCATCATCAAGCACACAACAACCAGACTTCCATCATCCCAATCCAATCATCGCAACCACCATTCGCCAGAACTTCCATATCCCTCTACAAAGCCTCGTACAGAGCCGCGCATACATTCACCCTCTTCAGTCATCGTCCTCGACGTTCGATCAAACGCTCCCATCCAGCTCGCTGCACGCAGACACGCGACTCTGCTCGCGAGGTTCGCGTCCACGAGGCTTCCAGACACGCGAGCAGTCCGACGGTGTTTTTCCATGGGAGCATCCCGGTGTCGGTGGCGGCGACGGCGGATCGATCGTCCTCCACCGCCCACGGGACGGTGAATCGGGGACGGTACGCGTGGCCACGTCACCGCACCCCCGCCCCAGCTCCTTGTAGTACTTACTTCCCGGCGCTCCAGGCTCATCTTCCCGGCACTGTTCCTCCGCGCCGTCCGCAACCGGTGAACACGAGCACTGGGTCGCGTCCGCGTCGCGACTACCGCGTCCCGGCGCCGCTGCGCCCCTCGAAACCGACGCCGCCCCCGGACAGGCGCACTTCCACGGTTGAACCCTTCCTTGCTCGTAGCCCTCGGACCAGTTGGAGAGTTACTCGCGGCCAAAGTGGACTTTCTTCGATCTTCTGGTCGTTGTCTTCTGTCTTGAGACTGAAATCCAAAAGAATTTGAGTAGGTTTGTCCATGATTTTCTGCTGATTTTTAGTAATATTGCAAGGTATTTGTTATATAGTTATTGTGTATTATATTCTGCAATATCCTACTTTTGTGACGCAGAGGTATGTATAGAAGAGTCTTTGAATTGTACGAGAATTACTTGAGAATAATATGGTCTTTTGAGGTAGGAATGTTTCTGAATTTCCGGCGACCCATAATGATGACGCAGGAAGGGGGTGGAAGAATGTAATGGTCTCCAATGGTGGATAGCGTTGTTCCAGGGAATATAGTTTCTGTAATTGTTTGTTTGTGTTGGTTGTAGGAGATGAGATCTTCTGGTTGTTTCTTTTGGTGATGGATTGGTAGGCTTTGGTTGGCTCCTGGATGCTTTTCAGATGGCACTTGGGAATCATTTCTTTCTTATGAATGCTACCGCTGTATATCTAAAACGTTAATACTCGAAAGTTATTGCAATTGGGATTGAACAGTTTCTCGATTGAAATTGCGATTGTATATTACCAGTGCTTGCTCACACACACACGTAGACGGCGACATTTTACGATACGTTCGAATAGTCCGTGAAGACCGTACTCTTGCAATTTGAATGGTGTAGAAAGCCTTCGTTTTCTCTCTCGTTATGCGAATTAGCATCGGCAACAAATTCTGATCTAGAGATAAACCTAAGTGTTATTTCACAGTGTGCACGTACGTGTCATCTCGGTGGGTAATAAATTTTAATTCTGCATTAATGCACGGCAGATACCTTGTAATTAACAGTAATTAGTATACCTGATAATCTGTAGATAAATTCCAAATATTGTTTCGACACGAAGAACGCTTTAGAAATTAGCCTGAAATGGCAGCTTCTCCGCATTAGTTCAGTGTCTGGTTAACTTTGCGTGAATGGTATGGACGGTATGCGCATAAATTGAATAAATTAACCGAACGTACGGTTAACATGCTTCGAGTACTGGCACATATCAGAATTTGCATGTATGTTTTCAGAAACTTGAAAGAAAATCATGATGTATTAATTAAGTAACATAATCCAAGTATACATTAAACATTTTATCGAACTTTTCAAATTATACGAGAAAATAACCTATTTGTTGAGGTGGGTAACGTGTTGTTTTTCTTTTACGAATTATCTGATTATGCATTGAGGCCATCGGCAAGTTCTATCATCTGGGAACATTAGCTGGAAAATACCCAACGATTATATTTATTTAACGAATACGTTCGATATATCGTAAAATATTTCGTCGAGTGTGCGTAAGAAATTCTTCGTAAAGATGGCGAAAAGAAAACGAGAAATTATTTTAATACGAGGTTAGATAAGAAATTGTTAATTGGAAACGGAAGATATTACCTTTCCAAAGAAATGTGATTCATCGTTTAAGTATTTTAGATTAAATTCCAATCAAGTGCAATTTCTTCGAAAAGTAATATCACTGGAACAACATTCCCGGTTTGATAATTGTCAAATAATAATTTGATAATGAACGATATAGATGTCACTAGTCAAACTACAGCGGTGTTCAGAAATGATAATAATATGACTGGGAGAAAGGAATTTTAAAAAAGATGACAGAAATTTTATTTAGTCGTGATTAAAAAAATAACGATGGAAAAAATTTAATATTATCGAGAAGAAAGCAACCAATAGCATATTTTACTTTCGATGTTTTATTAAAAGGTTAGGTTTCTAGGTATTCAAAAATTACTTAAAATATTTCAGTTCAATATTCACTCAATATAGAGTATTCAATATTCAATACTCTATGAGAATGAAGTATAAATTATTCACAAATTTCTTATTGAATCCAAACTTCAATAAAATTATCATAAAATTGAATCTGTAGAAATAACAGAGCATGAATAATGATAACTCTAAGAGTTGCATTGAAGCGCCGGTAGATGCTACTGATAACTCACTCTGTAAATATCTTCGAGTAGCCTGCAGATCGATCGATTTTGCCACTCGAATCGGATCTCGTAGCAGTTCCTCTTGTCACGTATCAAACAACGAAATTTCTTTCACTAATTTCAGTCATCGAGATAAAGTTCCTTTTCTCAACTTCATCACAGGGAAATATTTACACCGAACTATAAGATATTAGATACACTTTCACAGAATTTTATATTTTTGCAATTTTACGCAACTGTTCTGTACGATGAAAAATTCGAATATATATCGAATTCGCTTGCTCGATTTAATTACCAGTATTTCCAAGAGAAAGTGTGAATTTAACTAGTTTAATATTTTCACTTTATAATTTTCGATATTTAAAAATATTGTTATTTGGACTTTTTATATAAAATATTTTATTCTATGTTTATTTTCTTTATTAATTTAATGTCAATTCAAGATTCTTAAAACACTTTCCTGTTTTTCTATGAAATATATATTAAAGATTAAAGGAGAAAAACTTTCAAGATATGTCACTTTTTCACTTTCAGTTTGTCCAATGCTGCACGATATTTTAGATGAGACTAACAATTAGGTTAACCGTAGATTAGAAAGCAACAGAAGTGGACGCTTCGTATACATTTTCTCGAACACGTTACATTTCGAATACACGTTTTCCTTCGATTTCGTCGCGATATACATAATTGCCGGTTTCACATCTCGTCACAAGACCGTTCTCAATGCCACTGATTGTGAAACGTGTTGCGAACGCGCGTGTACCCCGAACATGCAGCGATAAGAAATGATCACGAAAGCATCGAATCGAAACCCACACGTATATGTCTGCCATCGATTGCTTTATTCTTTCGTAGCGATAATATGACGCACGTGCTTACCCCACCGATATTTGGCGCCTCTGTCTTCCGAAAGTCGCGTAACAGGCCGATAATGTTGACAAAGTGGCGCGTGACCATCGTTCCCGACGCGATCTGCTACTTCCGTATGTGGCCACGAGATTTCGGGAGTAGCACGTTCCGTGCTGCTTATTGACACATCCAATAGGACGATAAAAGTTTTTATCCTTCCATAAGCGAATTATCATGAGAGGAACGAATGAAATAAATTTGTTTAACACGTTCACCACATGGCATCGGGGTCATCGTAAACTCTAGTCACGTCAGAATTAATCATAACGCTAATTAAACAATAACAGTGTAAAGTAGCAATGAATGTTTCCCGATGTTTTATTTTTGAAAGTATAGCATTTATGAATGCAGTGATGATGATAATAATGAAAAATGATAGCAGTGAAATGTAATGACAAAATAATGGTAGTGAAATACAATACAGTGATAAGGAAATGAAACAAGAGTAAAAGCATGGACACATGGAAATGTATAGGGTATTTCAGATATAATGAACATTCAAATTATTATTTACTGGTATTGAAAGTGAGAGAAATATTACTATAAAAGATTATATGTGACTTTCAGATGTTTTGAATGTCGTTCCAAGGGCATCCATATTTTTCTGTAACCTATATCAACATCGAAACAAATTTAACAACAAATAATATGACAATATAACCTTAAGGTGACCTTAAACAGTAAAATATCAGTGCTGAGTCACTTCTTGATACTCGACTGAAATTAATTGGCATCGATACTAGACCCTCGCACGTTAGTCATTTTTATTGCTTGTCAATACGCTGGATGCTACCTATCAGTAGATCGAATTCATTGCCTTGTTTATTAATAAGAAATACCATTCGATCATTCATTTATCACATGCGCAAATGCATGTTGCAGGCTAGTATTTTGAAATCTAACAAAACATAGTAATTTATTATTTCATTTTCGTTTTATTATTCTCATGTTCGATTTAACCTCACTATTTCGATTAACCTAAACGTAACCTAAAATTAACAGAGTAAAGTATCGTATTATTTCACATTCGTTTCGTTATCTATTTGTTTTTCTCTAAATACATATTTTCAATTCGAAGTTACTTCGTAGATATAATGTCACAGGTCAATTAAACTAATGTCAAAACAAATTTGTGAATATGTAATAAAATGTAGACGACCTTGTAATGACCTTTCAGATGACATCCAAATTGCGTAAAACCCTGTTTTATTTTTTTTTCTTACTTTTAATACTAACAAAAAATCATTTTTTAAATATTTACTACTATGAAAAATTGCGTGAGTCAATAATTCCAACTATCTTGAATCACGTCTTCTGAATCAATATCTTTTCAACTATAACACATTTCTATGAGTTTTGTTCTAGACCAGGAGGAAGAGTGAAATCAGGGGATATTTTCTTTTCTTTTCTATTATCAGAGAAAAGATGATGCATCCGATGATGTAACAAACTAATGGGGTCCCTGAAGAATCTTGTATTATGAAACTTTAAAATAAAGTTCATTACGGTTATCTAACGCTATCATTAAATGAAACTTTCTAAAATTAAACAGTAAGATAAAATGTTCGTTATTATTTGAATTATATAATGCATTAAGCATCATAAGGAAATTGGTTATTAATAGAAGTGAATTTTATTTTAAGTAACACGCGCTTATACATGTACATACATATGTTACGTATTTAGAGAGCAAAACCTCAAATTGTCGTATAATCCTTTAATAGTAGTGGAAACTGACGCGAATTCTGACGGTATTTACTGAGATTATCGTGTCACCGTGTGCACAAATTTCTCCGTACATAACCTGTACAGGGTGTCCTAACTAATCGCGTTACATAATACCACGTGTAATCAATTGTACAAAATATTCCAGTAAAAACTTTTCCATTCGTTGACTTTTGAGCAGATCATAAACCGTGAAACAAAGAATAATTTATAATAAAATTAATAAAAAATCCTTTTTCTTTATTTGCTCGAATATTTAATATTTACTATAACAAAGTAATTAAATATTTCACTAGTATAAGATATAGTAACTGTAAAATATTGATGATTTTTTTATAACTATTATAATGGCAATTTTTTATAACATTTTTTCAATTGTATATTGAATTATAACCAAAGAAATTAATATTTTTATGTATGTTCAAGATGGACGTCCTTTACCTGGGAATATTCAAGAATATGAGACCATTTAAGTGATGAAAGACCACTCTTCTCATTTCCTTCGTTTTTCCTTTCCTGTTTCTTTTGATTACGGAAAAAGTGATGGGATTTCAATGGGAATCACGCGAAACGATAAAATAAATTGAACGTGATTTTACCTTACGTTTAAGAGGATGATGGCGGGTACGTGCTCAGATAATGCAGGCAGCCTGTGCTTTCAGAGATAATGCGATGATGACACTGATGATAGCGATTACGCCAGTCGCGCTACGCACGGGGAGGCATCGATTTCTGCTCTGTAAAAGTGAAATATTGTTTCAGAAAAGGTGTCTACTATTTGAACAGTCTTATCTGCGCGCGATTTATTGTTGCTCCTGGTCTGTTGTCGCTGCAAACTGTAACTGTGCCTACGTGAAGTAGTTCCTTAAGTTCTTCGCTAATTAACTCTGTTTTATATTTACAATTTCTTTAATAATTATTTTTCAATAAATAATTCTTACCCAGGATTAATTTCTAAATTTATACAATGAGATTTGTCGACTAATTTGCCTTGAATATACAGAATTTCATTAATTCGTTATAGACTGAAACTCTTTTTAAATAAAATATAAAAAGGAACTTGATTTTAAATATTAAATAAACATTATCCTAGATACTAAAATTTTGCATTATTCTAGGTCTATAATAAAGAAAAGGATGAAAATGAGAAGAAGTTCTTATGGAGACTCAAAGAACCAACACTATCTTAAGTTGCCAACCATTGCTTTATTTTCTCTAACAGCAGTTCGTTCTTAAAAAATATCGACGCTATCACCAGCGAGTGGAACATTTCTATTCGGAACCATCCGTCTCACCCGTGCGA